AAACGCATTTCCTGTAAAGATTTTAAGCTTGGCTTTATCTATGCGAACGGAGCCATCAAGTGCCCAAACGTCTCGGTCCTGCTGCGGGAATCGAACCCTGTATCTTTAGATTGTGAATGGTGTTGACCATTAGGCTGCAATATCTGCTGACTCATTGCACTGTACAATACCGTGCCCCCGGTGCACCTTAAAATGTATCATCGGCACATATAGTTTTATTAAATTATACTTTAATTATTTGTGTATATAGTGAAGAGTAGAGGTCCCAGGGCAGAGCCTTGAGGCACTCGACTTGCTACTGTTTCTCACACAAACTTTTTAATCCATGTACACTGACCCGCTCTTGTACGATGGATACCACCTGCTCCAGTGTTAACAGATTTCATCCAGTACCGGGCACCTCCCCTCCAGTACCGGGCACCTCTGTCTTCGTCAAAGCGTCGAGAAGAACAGTACAAAAACCTTAAGCAAGTCCAGGTGTATATCATAACGTTAGTGTGTGGGGCTGTTCTCGTGTTGGTGAGGATGGAGAGACTATACTGTTACCGTTGGCACCTTACAGTGTAGGTGTGGCTGGGAGGGAGTATAATATTGAGGCCAAGTGATAAGAGATAGGAGAACAGTGTTACCAAGTTTACCTGACCCATCGCTACCCTCAACAATTCTGATTATGATCACTTTTTGTTTTGTTTTAATTTGTGAATATTGCAAAATTGGGACTAGTGTTCCAGATACTATAACATTTTCGTCCTCAACGACCTTGAGTTGTACAATTTTTCAATACTGCCTTTCGATAATAGGCTACTAGTTGACCCAGTCTATTGTCATGTTAAATATATCATGACCCAGTTGAATAATTTTATGGATTTTGTCGCACAAATTACCACCATTCAGATTCTAAATCCGAACGAAAATGATCAAACTAATTCAGTTTAATGAAAGTAATTCTGGTAATTATATTCACATAGGCGGTGGAAGCGTTTATGATGTGATAGTGTGGCAACAATGGTGGGGGAGATTGTCATGCATATCTGCTGGTGTGTGTATCAGTGTGGCTTGGGTCCTCTGCAGCTACACACCGGTATCTTACCTCCTCGCCGGCAGTTTAAAGTATCCAATTAACCAACACAAGAAGAGACTTGGTTCTTCATAGACAGCTTGTGGTGGTTGAACAATTGGATTTTTAATAAGAGACGTGATGGACGCATCTGCGCTTGTGTTGATGTTGAAATACTCTTGTTAAGTAACATGTTGATCAATCGTTAGGAAAATGTTCACAAAACTCCTGTATTGAAAAATGATGTTTTTAACTATCGCATGCGCCTGGGTAGAGGCTTTGGTCACGGTTTAACCAAGTTTCACACTGTTCTTCACGTGGGATATTACCAACCGGTCATCTAAAAATGGTAGTACTTATACAAACAATTGGTCGAAATTATATAAATGTGCCGTTGTACCTAAAAAAAGACTGTTATACTATTTTGTAGAGCACGAGAAGGGGGGAAAAAAGGCAACAAAACCTAGCGAGATGCGTATATTAGTCCTAAAGTTTCTTATTTATGCATAGGCCAGATTTAGTTCTATAGTTACCGTTTTGAACTAACCATTATTAACAAACTTTTTAGGGTACAATATTTGTATACATATGCAAACATTGTCTGCACAAGTATTGACGTTTCTGGAGGATAAGTTGGATCTATAATATAGAATCCCTGAATAATCTAAACATCCTCTTTTAGGACTCGCATTACACACAATATTAGTGTCGAGATCGCGATGGATAATCTAAACAAATTGTAAATCTATTTTGGTTATTATAACCTAATCATTTGAATGAGCTGTTCTAATTATTTTAATAACGTTATTCAAATAGATTCTTGTGTGAATATCTTTTGTCAATAAAATCCTGCAGTTTCTTTACGGTGACTACTGATATTTTTTAGCGATTCGAGTGTTTGTTGAAATAAAAGTATGAATCCGACAGTCATGTTCTCGTGGGAAGACATGTCCGTGGATGACTTGATGCGGAATTATGAAACAAACTTTGAACATGTGTACATCAGCAAGCGCACTTCCATGGTAAGTGATGTCGAAGTTTATCGCCCCAGTTGAACTTTAGGAAACATCCCATTGGTTCAACCTATAAATATGCGTGAGAGTCGACATAAAGGAAAAAGGAGGAGGGGGGGGGGTCAGTAATGTTAACTTATTATTTTAATAATAATATCTACATTATTTTAACACTTAAAATTTAAAGGGATAAATGTTAACATGTATATTCCTTAGTATATAATATTTAAAGCAGACAAGATCAGTGTTACTTGGTTTAGGAGTCAAAATCTTCAATAAATTTCTATAACAGATTCCCGTTTTCTTAAAATTTGTTTGCCAATCTTTGAATCATATTTAAACTTCTCATATCAGTTTTGAGCAAGTAAGTCTATATCAGTAGTGGAATGACTCACCATGAAGCCATAGGTGTCTGTATCCATTTTTTGTGGTGTGCCACACATGTACTAAAGAGATAGGTCTATCTTATCTAATGTTAAGCAAGTGTGACTCGGACATTGCCACAGCGAAAGGTGGATAAGCATAGCCTAGTATGTTTAATACTAGTTCTGATTCAGTGTGTTTTAACTGTGGATCATGTCACCCAATGGACAGTTAAATTTATCGGTGGAAATTGCTGATTTGAAAATAATTGCTGTTACGGCCACTTTGGGCCAGTAACCGGGTTCTTTCTGTTGTAACGTCTTCTTCTATATCGAACCCCAAGTCGGTGGTAAGCTTTCAAGAACTGGCTGTGTCAAGTAGTAGTGCAATGAATAAAAAAGGGGGCATAAGCAGTACACAATTATCTTCACCAATATGTTAACACCTATATATTAGGTGTTATATATATATTATAATAATAATAATATAAAATTAAAGTATTACTACACCTATTTACAATAGTCTCTCTCACGCAGGATCCCGATGAATCCACTTTCCAGGTACACGTCGTCCACTCCTAATGGCAAACACTGGCGAGTTCACCTTCCTTAATACGGGCCAGTCCACACACACCGTATTGCCACTATTACCACTACCCCACCTCCATTCCCCAGATACCCACTGGCAGAGGGTTTCAGCCACACACTGACAGGGGTGTCAAACAATCACATACAGGGGTAGCTAACACCCTGGCAGAAGTCTTTAGTCGCTCACTAGCAGCACTTCACAATAGCCGCACCACTGTCGTCTTGTAACTCTTACTGGCCAATCCTGGGTACATCGGTCCATACAACACTGCATACCTCAGCAGCTAACACACTGCTCTAACCAACGGCAGCCACTGTGTCTTCTCACAGGAGCAAGTCAAAGAGTTCTTGGACTGCCCAAGGTGAACTGCCTTCCAGTGCACCCACCTCCTTACATCACCTCATTGAACATAAAACGTCATTAATTAGACGGACAATACACTGGGTGACCTTGGGATAAAACCATTACACCTGGATATTGAAATTATATCTTGTAGCCACAACCTAGATGGCGGTGATCTTAATACACCACCCACCAGAGGTCATCCTCATTGACCTCACATTCTAACTGAGGCAGGAAACTGGAACCATTCACTGATACTTTGCCACCACCAACAGTTGGTGTGTGTTGTCTACATAGCACCCAGTACCAGGGAGTTGGAGTGCAGACCCATACATGGCGCTGAATTCGCCACTCGACACCCTGACGATGGTGTCGATACCATAACAGTTGCATTAAACAAATTATCGGGTAATGTTATAAACATGGGATCACTGGAACATTTCAAGCAAAGGTTAGGTAGATACAAAAGAGTTTGAGTGGATACAAGAGCTTCCCTCCATATCTCAAAAGGCCATGTGCCTTTTCCTGTATTATTATGCTCATTTGAGTGTATGAAGGTGAGGGTGGCAATAAGGTTACACACAACGTGAACATAACCCTTCTCCAGTAGCCTCTGCGTTACAGCTATGGTTACAAGATTTTCTCTTTGCGCAAGAAGTTCTATGTTCATGGCGGTCTGTTTACTCGTGTATAAATTTTCAAATCGATGGTCCGCACATTTGTAGTTTAAGCTTCAAATACAGAATTGGATAGATTGGCCAACCCTCCATAGTTAAGTATTGTTAAAAATTCTAATATAGTCGTTGGGAAGCTTCTTAAAGCCTCTTGATAGAGGCTTCCAGTTTACTCGGGGCTCTGATCTACCTCGGTGAATCGTGTTGGTGTTTTCTCTCCAATTCCCCTGCATTATTATTGTGTGTTTATTCGTAATTATCTGAATGTCGTCAATAGTATTAGAATAAAAACTACAATTAGATTAATAGAATCTGTGTGAGCATGCCTTTTCCCTTCAAACTATTTAATGTTTTTTTTATGAGCACTGATCAATTTGAATACTTTTGTGATCTAATACATGTATGAATTTGTACATCAATGAAACTGATCACTTTTAAATTCCCTATATTAGTTTTTTTAACGTGAAAATTGATCAGTTGCATTTTCCTTTTATAAACGCCATCAATTTTTCTTAACTTTTGCCAACTAGTATAATAAAATGATTTAATTGTTCTATTCGAAGGTTAATTAGTTTACTATTTTGATTCAAATTAAATATACAGTACTAGTCCCCCCCCCCCCCCCTGACTAACGGTTTAGAGGGGGCAAATCTCCTCAGCCACTGCACTTTGCACATCATTTATGTGTTTACTCGAGATTTACGTTTTACATCGATCATGGCGGCTCGGATGGTATTTATTAAATGGTGTACCAACTCCAGAACCTCCAGCAGATCATCCAGAACTCGAGGCTCTTTTATGGACGACATTGTACAGCTTTGGAGCTCGAAGTATTTAGTAAATACCAATTAAGCAGCCACGATAGAGACGAGATTCAGATCTTGCAAGTGAACACGTAGGTGCTTTGTGAATCCTGGTAGTCTTGTGTGGTTGGTGACTGTGACGCTCCTCCTATCTTTACAGTGCCAGCTGCTGTTGGAGGCAGGTTGTGAGGTAGTAGATAAGTTAGAGGACAATAGTAAGTGGCATGGATGTGGCCCTTTCCTGCACTACTGTTTAAGCACCTCAGTGGCAACGCGGATGGGGGCACAAAATTTTCCTCTCCTTTGTGTTTGCCTTTTGGTTTTGTTTTAAAGGGGGTAGGGGTGAGAGGGTATTGAGGCGTATTTTAGAATGCAGGGAATGTATGCCGTGTATTAATTGAATGTTAATGCTCATACTGCATGCTTTCAACCCTCCATAAAAAGGTTTGGGCAATTGTTATGATTAATGTCTGTACACTAATGCAAGGGCTTTCATTTTATTTAAATTTTTTTATTATATTTTGGATTTGAAAAGCGTGACTTAAGATTCTCAAAGTATCGGTGCCATGATGATTGCTTACATCCACTGAAAACTTTTTGTAGTGATTAGATTATAATACTTTTAGTTGGTGATAAAAAGTAGCCTGTAAAAATTAATTGGGCCCAAAATTTGCATTCAAATGGACGAATCAAAATTATTCTTTCATTCTGTAAATGTTTGAAAGGAAAATATGGACATTAAATTTTGTTTAAGGTTTTACATTTTTTTTTAATTTAAACATTTTCACATTTAGTATTTATGCAGTTGTAAACGAAATTAAGAATTATTTTCATTCAAAGTCAGTATATAAAACATGGGGCAATGTGAAGGATGTGGTTATTTTGGTAGTGTTGATCTAACAATGTGTGTTAAGTTTGTGTTTTTTGTGTAGACATTTTATTGTGGTCTTGAGCATATATTTTTTTTCTAGTTACTATATTATTTTAGTGTAATGAGTTTAGTATTGCAGTTTTAATTTCTTTAGTCTTGTAACTGTTTGACATATATCCTTTGTTAGCCAAATGTTTTTCACATCTCGTGCTCGTACAGTGGCCCCTGCTGTGCTCGTGCGGTACCTGGTTGTATTTGGAAGCTTAAAAACAGCTGAAAGAGATGAGATCAGTGATTAAAATTCCAGTAGCTAGCATCAGCCTGTCTGATGACATCAGTCAGTGGGCGGCGCTTGCGTTGCCTGGAGATGGAATCCTGAGCATCGTCGAGGCTATAGCTTCCAAATCCAACCAAGATCAGTCATCTACAACAGCTTGCCCTGACTGAGCCTTGTAGAGAAGCTTGACCTCTGCACAACTCTAGGGTTCTCGGGCATTGTTAAACAAAATTAAGCAGAAACTTTATTGTAAATAACATTTATAAGTTGACGAGAACCTTAGCATTCAACAGGGATAAACAGACCACCTTGTGCTTATAGCACCAAGAGTAAAGAGGATTACAAATTAGGTCACTTGCAAAACAGCGGCCATGTGTTAAGTTTCTGGATGCATTTGGGTATAGTTAAGTTTGGTGGCATGTACATACACGACTGCTTCAACTGTGTACACATTCTAATGGTCATTAGTGATAACCATGTGGTGACGTACATGTTTCAGTACCTCGGGTTTTGTGAATAATTCTTGTGGATGCCTTTCCTTGATTGATCTTTTTCTCTACTGTATAACTTTGAATGTTTCTTTCTCCTCTTTTTTTATCATCTCTTCCCCCCCCCCCCCTGCTTTTACCCCTTATCTCCCTCCCCACAAGTAATGTAAGGAGACTCAGAACGTGCGTTTTGCTTTTCCCGATGCGTGATCGAGATGTGAATTTTTTCTACGAAACGGCGACTCACGGTTGTAATCATAATAATTTTTCCATAGAGATTAAACGGATCCCGTCCATTCCCTGCTATTTTTCCCAAGGACATTAAATGGTCCCCTGTCATCATCCCTAAATTTAGTTACCTCTGTGATGCAAGGTTCTAGTCAGTCAATTTTTCCTTTGAGATTTAACGGCAGCCTTCTGGCACTTACTAGATTTTCCCCATGGAGATTAAACAGCACCCTTCCGTCACCCCTAATGTTCAATGACGTCACCAGCCAACCAACGTCTTCATCCACCCTCAATAAGTCCGTTTTCCATTATTATATATTTAATCCCATTTTCAAAGACTAATTATTTCTAGTTAAAAGATAGCATATTAAACATAAGAATGAAACTGCTGAAGACCTGTTGGAAGTATTCAGTATTTCCTATTTATTTCCACCCATGTTGAACCAATAATTAACTTCCACTATGAAATGAAGTAAACTGCAGAAGGCCTATACATAAGTAGCAAGGACATAAAGCACAATATTCACACCTGTATTTGCCCGAGTCTTTTTCTAATGTTGAATAAATACCCCTATTGATACCCCCTTAGATTCATCCACTTTAAGCATGTCACATACAAGAAACTGCAGAGGACCCCATTAATGCCCTTTTTCATACCCATTCATTCAATCTTCACCTAAATATCTTCCAATTCTTGTTAGTAACTAGTAAACTAATTAAATTGAGAAATTTTTTTACCGACCCCCCCATCCCTCCACCCAGCCAAAGACGGTTTATTTGTACTGAACTTGATGTTTATATTAGCCCCAGCCACCCTGTACCTAACCTGCCTGGATCTTTGTTTAATATTCCAGACAAAGTTTATGTTCTTAGACTTGGCCACTCTGTACCAAACCTGCATTGACCTAATATGAAATGTATCATTTTTTGGGGGGGTGGGGGGGTTGCATCAACCCAACCACCCTGAACCTAACCTCTATACTAGGATCTTGGTTTAATATTGCATCTTATTCTTAGCCAAGTTTGATTTTTTGGACATTTGTTTTACAATGTCCAAAACATCAAACTTGGCTAAGAATAAGATGCAAACCAAGATCCTAGTATAGAGGTTAGGTCCAGGGTGGTTGGGTTGATGCACCCCCCCCTCCCCCCAAAAAATGATACATTTGATGTTAGGTCAATGCAGGTTTGGTACAGGGTGACTGAGTCCAAGTCCAAGAACATAAACTTTGTCTGGAATATTAAACAAAGAGCCAGGCAGGTTAGGTACAGGGTGGCTGGGGCTAATATAAACATCAAGTTCAGTACAAATAAACCGTCTTTGGCTGGGTGGAGGGATGGGGGGTCGGTAAAAAAATTTCTCAATTTAATTAGTTTACTAGTTACTAACAAGAATTGGAAGATATTTAGGTGAAGATTGAATGAATGGGTATGAAAAAGGGCATTAATGGGGTCCTCTGCAGTTTCTTGTATGTGACATGCTTAAAGTGGATGAATCTAAGGGGGTATCAATAGGGGTATTTATTCAACATTAGAAAAAGACTCGGGCAAATACAGGTGTGAATATTGTGCTTTATGTCCTTGCTACTTATGTATAGGCCTTCTGTAGTTTACTTCATTTCATAGTGGAAGTTAATTATTGGTTCAACATGGGTGGAAATAAACAAGAGATACTCAACAGTCCCAATAGGTCTTCTAGAGTTTCATAACTAAGCTTATTTCTAGTTAAAAAATTGCATATTAATCAGTCTTTGAAAATGGGATTAAATATGCAATTATCGAAAACACTTATTGAGGGAGGACAAAGACTGGCTGACTGAGGAAGTCATTGAACAAGATGATGGAAGGGTACTGTTTAATCTCCATTGGGAAAAATCTAGTGCACCAGAAGGCTGTCATTAAATCCCCAGGGAAAAAGTTGTAACTATTCCCTCCTTTCCTTTTCCTTTCCTTTCCTTTCCTTTCCTTCTTTCCTTTCCTCCCTCCCCACCCACTCACCCCTCCCTCCATCTCCTCCTGTCCTCACTCACCCCTCCCTGCCTCCCATTCCCACTCACCCCTCCCTCCCCACTCCTCCAATCCCTCCCTCCTTCCTCTCCTCTCACACACTATTACTGTTTCTTCCTCACTTTGACATCCTTCCAAGGTGTATGAAGTTTGTCAGTGGCTAGATAATAGAAGCGTTCCAGGTGCGAGGCACAAGTGACCATCATTAATCATATCTCTCACGATATATTTGTTGTGAGAGATTGCATTAATCACTACTTAGAGACCTATTGTAATTGTTTTGATATCAAGCATTGTAACAGATGCCATGCAATTTTCATTAAGGTTTTCTGTTTGGGAGCTCCTGATATCACTGTCTTAATGAATTTCAAATGCATTTATTAGTATTATTTTTAGTAATAACTATTTAACCCTCATGTTAATACTAAACCTACGCCCGAAATGCTGTGCATGATTAATGGCTTTACAAAAATACAAATATACTAATTTAAATTGTTGTAAATAAGATGACAAATTAAGTCATTTGATGGTGTACAAGTGGCATCAAGGGTACTGATTTATGTACTGCATCACTACTAGCATTTGGATAGACATGAGCATTAGCTGTCACTCAGATGTACACCTTCAAAACACATGAATGTATCCATCCCATTAACACATGGTTGCCATTTAGCAGGTGGCCAGCCTTGCTCTCGCTTTCCTTTATTGGTGTTCATAAGCACCCAAGTGATCTGTGTATATGTCTATTTTAAAAAAGTTCTTGTGATGGAAGCAATTTTCACATAAAAGGTCATATTCCTAAAAGATTTTGTTCAACATTGTCATTAGTTATTGACAACTGACCATCCTGAGAACCTATCATAGTTTTTAGATATTACTAGTAATATTTAAATTCTATATATATAAAAAAAAATCACTAGACTGTGTTCCTATTTTAGATTGCATCATAAAATTGGATGATTTTGTGATACTCTATACCCAATTTAAATCTTAAGAATTAAATTTAGACATCATAGTAGGCTAACGAGTAGTGTTGGGTAGTGCAATACTAAAAACAAATACTAATTCACTGCCATCTTTCAGCCTCCGGAGAACGAGCTGATGAAGGGGTCCGAACGGCAGCTGTCAGAAGCAGAGCTAAGAGTCAGGCGATCCCTCCAGAGACTCGATGTTCCTGACTGGATGAAGAATGCACAGCCACAGCAGCAAGGTTTTCTTCTTCGCCGACGTGACTATAGCTCTAGCACGACAGGCGGTGGTGGAGGCTGGTCAGCATACTCGTCTAAGACTGCATCAATGACGTCACTGGGATCATCCCGAGCTCAAACCCCCAGCACACCCACTAAAGTGGTCATACCTACCCGGGTAACCTCCAGAGGCATGACAGGACTTGGAGGTGTCACCTCACCAGCCTCCAATTGTTCTATATCTCCTTCTCCCAGTGATCGCAGCGGATCACTCTTTCAATATCCAATCTCGCGGTGGTCAACGTCTCGCCTCAACTCTGGTACCACCACACCCACTGGCTCGGTGACATCCACTAAATCCACCGCAACATACACCCGCCAACCGTACCTTGGATGGCGATCACAAACTTCCTTAGCCTCACTAGCCGGCTCTCAGTCTTCGCTTACAAACACCGGTTCTTACTTAACCGCGGCAGATAGATTAGCTCTTGGCATCACTGCATATAGCCAAAGATTTGTAAAGTCTGCAGCCAACACACAGGACAAGGAGAATTCTTCAGCAGAAGCAAATGCAGCCATGCCAAAGCCTGAGAGTGAAGAACAGAATGATACAGGTAGCACAAATGGTAGCATCAAATTGCAAGTGCCCACTGATGTTGCAGATGTCCATTCTTCCATAAAGGAGGTAACATCAGCCATAGTACATTACTGCAATGAGTCCACACCATCCCCTAGGGCATCTCCTAGAGGGTCTCCAAGACCAGAGGGAAGAGCTCCCTCCCCACGACGTTTGGTTTGGGTTGAGAGTTCCTTTGTGGGCTCTCGACCAATCACCTCTCCCGAGACTCCAACAAGCTCATCACATGCAATTACCCCTACGTCACAGCTCAATGGTCACGACCTACCCGAGTCTGGGGAAGCCACATCTCGGCCACCGCAGCCTCCGGGTGAGTACCTGTTGGCATGGTGACTTGCTGCTGGTTGTGACCAAGGTGGCTTGTCTCTGCCTTATGCAGGTTTGACTCTTATGCCATCTTAAGGGCTTGCCCACTGAAGCCAAAGTGTACATAGTTTGGATGCTTTAAGACTTTTATTTTTCTCCCATATTAAGTATGCAGCGTTTTATTATTTTCATATTTGTGCTAATTTTAGCTTGCATGATATGAAGACTGAACCACACACCAGTAGATGAAAGGACGACGACAGTTCGGCCCATCCTGGACCAATATGAAGTTGAATGTGATGGGAGCGAGGGTGGCACGGGCATTTAGTAAGGCAAGAGAGGTGAGGAGGAGGAAACTCCTAAAGGAAGGTAAGAGCAAGGCAAAAGTTATGGGTGGGATGGCTGTAATAAAGGAGTGTAAGAAGGGAGTAATAATGGGTGTAAAAATGGGAGTGTAAGAAATGAAAGAAAAGAAAGAAAAAAGGATGGATAGGCTTAGTTAGGTTATGTTAGAAAGGACAGAGCATTTGAGTATGTACTGAGACAGTTAAGAGTTAACAGCAACAAAGACAGGACTAAGGTTCATGTTGGGTATGTTGTGCATCAGAACTGGTTCAGACAGCGTCTGTGAAGAGTAGAGGCAGTAAAGTTTATTTTAGAAGAAGACCAATTGATAGAATGATTAGAATCCCTAACATGACTTAAGATAGCATTGTTTGTGTCTGCAAACTTAACACTTCTTTTGGGTTCTTTAATTCTAAGTTTGCAGACACAAACAATGCTATCTTAAGTCATGTTAGGAATTCTAATCAATACTCCTATTGATTGGTCTTCTAAAATAAACTTTACTGTTTCTACTCTTCACAGATGCTGTCTGAACCGGCTCTGATGCACAACATACCCAACATGAACCTTAGTCCTGTCTTTGTTGCTGTTGACTCTTAACTGTCTCAGTACATACTCAAATGCTCTGTCCTTTCTAACATAACCTAACTAAGCCTATCCATCCTTTTTTCTTTCTTTTCTTTCTCTTATTTCTTACACTCCCATTTTTACACCCATTATTACTCCCTTCTTACACCCCTTTATTACAGCCATCCCACCCATAACTTTTGCCTTGCTCTTACCTTCCTCTGAGTTTCCTCCTCCTCACCTCTTGCCTTACTAACTGCCCGTGCCTCCCTCGCTCCCATCACAATCGACTTGATAATGATCCAGGATGGACCGAAACGTCTTCGTTCCTTCATCTTGTGGTGTGTGGTTTAGTCTTCACATCTTCGGCCACGTTATTGTGACTCATCGTCAGCTTGCATGATATATTTGTAACTATGTAAAAGAAACTACTTGCATGAAAAGGAAACTTTGCATTTTCATGACTGGTATTGCAGGTAATGTCATTTTTCAATTTTCCCTGCTATCTGATGTGTACCCTCTGAGTGTCGACAGCGCAATCAAATTTCCCTGAATAAATTTGCACACCTTTTATCTGTTTACTTTATCATTACTTGCTCATACAACATTCTTTAAAAACCATGGTTTATATTAATTTGTTATTTGGTATATAGTCAGAGAAATGTAATGTTGCTTAAGCGTGTCAGAGATAAAAAAAGTTTGTGTGACTGAACTGCCCTTTTAGATTGCTTTGTATTAATTGGCCAGATTTTCAAGTAAGTGGCTAGCTTTCATAGCTTTTCAAGACATTTCATTTGCCCCAATTGCATTTATTTAATTTTTTTTTTTTTGTAACACTCCAGAGTTCCTGGGTGGTATCAGACTCAAAGTCCACATTGACAAGGCTCAAAAACCAAAAGGCACTAGAGATACGGTATACATTATACCGATTGAGGCATTTCAATCTCGTGCCATTAATTTGCTGAGCATAAGAGGGAACTTAAAGTGGTGTTACAACCTCATGGATATTGTGCCAATACTGGCAGCCAGTCTCCAGAGTGTAGTAACACACACCCACGGCCAGACAAACATTTTGTACAGCATATGCCTCTGCTGTATTTGGTTTATATATGGGTTATTTTAATCCTAGTATGTGTTTTATTTAATTTTTTTTATTCGGTATGGTTCAATGCCCTTTAATTATTTTTAATTGTTTGATGTCATACTAGGAATTCTACATTTATTAATATAATTCAAAGACTTTCTTGTTAGATTTTTTACATCTAAATTTACATGTCTTTGTATTGCCTTATAATCAAAGAAATGCCTTTTCCTTTCCATATTCAAGAAAGCCTTTGAATTAGGAAAATGAATGACTTGTGTTATTTAAAATTGCTATATTGTTTAATTTAAATTCAGTATTTTTCGTCATTCTTACCAAATTTATTATTTGTAGCTCCACCTGGGAATTTTCATTGTTGTTGTTGCATTTCCGGAGTTTCTTCACTGTTGATAGCGTAGTGGTGAAGTTGAATCAAGACCCAGTTTTCTCAGAGCCGGTTCCTCCTCGGACCTTCACAGGGAAGGCCCTTATTTGCATTGATGCAGTGTCCATCATCTTCCATTGGTATTCATTTCTGAAATTATTTTGAACATTACTTCTTTATAATAGCTAGGAATGAAAGAATGATGGTAATGATTTTTATGATTGTAATATCAATAGATACAGCATAAAGTTCAATTAATCCCTGTGTGTATATATATATATGATTAAAATGTGCCTTGCAAATGCTACATTTGAAGCCTTAACTTTTATCTCAAGAGGTGCCGATCCTGAGAAAGCTGGTTGAAGTCCCAACTATTTAGGGAGGTTTAGCAAAACTCTTTTAAAGTAGTTTGGGACATTGTAAATGCATGTCCAAAGTTTTTCTCCTGATGAAGGGTATCTGGCTGTATGTACATCACTTGTTACATGTCTGTACATAGTTTTGTTTTAAGATAATATATATCTAGATATTGTTTAATTTTGTTTTGCTTTTCCTATTATTTTCAGCAAGTTTTGTTTTAATATTTGGTTTTAGCTTCTGTAGCTTATAATTTTTTTTTTAATAAAGACCCCCTCTTTATGCATCAGTAGAGGATGAAAATCTGGATAGATGCAGCTGTGCATTATTTCTAATTAAAAATAATTTAAAATTTATTCAGTACTGTATTTGCTTTTAATACATTAAATGTTTTCATATGTACAGTAATTCCATTAATTTGCTTCAGTTTACTACAAAGGTATTAATGCAAATAATGCTTACCATGAGGAATTTAAACTTTGTGCCAGAGGTAAGCAACTCTGTCACAGGCCAGTAGCCAAACATCTCATGGTAGAAATAAAACTACTTACTGAAATATATTCTGCCAAATATTAAAAAAATATCTTTATGGCATAAGGGTGTAAATTGCCAAAATGTGACATATGCAAAACCATAATATATTTTACAAATTATGGTATACCAAACTGGTAAAAAACAAATGGTTTTGTTTTTCTAGGCATCAGGCCTGATACTTTCCTAAATATTTATAGATTTAATTTGTCTCTGAATATGTTACTGAAATATGTGCATTTCTACAGATAATTTTCCAGAGGTTTAAACTGGCAAAAGTACAAATTCTATATTCTCAAACTGTATAGTATCTATATTTGCAGCACAGCATTACTGTGCATGGAAATGTCATCATGCAATATGGTTTTCCATTGTCTGTGACAATATGATTGCCAGCTCATAGCCATGGTCTTCCTAGGCCTAATGATTGACATTTACTAGGTTGCAAACTACAATATTTGCTTGCCTAATGTCTGGGTACCTATTTACTGAAAGATGAACGAAGGCATCAGGTGTACGGAAACTTGCACAAATGTCTTGCCTTGCCTAAGAATCCAACTAGGGTTCAATCGGAGGATTTATGCAACAAGCTGCCTATTGTTTGGTAATTACTTAAGTTGAATACAGTACCAAGGTATGGCTAACAAGACAAAAAACTATCAAACTATAATTGACAACAAAAAGGGGAGCAAACACTAAATGAATTCCATTCACCTTGACTATATGGGGTCCACGGTTCGAGACCTATACAGCCGAGGTGAATGGAATGTTTATTTCCACGGAAGTGGGGGATGCCAATTTACTCTAAATTAATATTTTACAGTGTTCACACTAGAATGGTTAGACATCCCATCACCCACACAAATGTTTCAAGGTGAAAAGAATGAATTTAGGAATATAACCATAACATGCAACATAACTGACAAACTAAAAGACTCGAAAGCCTCGGGTGTGGATGGAATAAAATCCAAAGTCATAAAGGAAATGGCAGAAGAAATATGCCTACCACCGAAATTACTTTTAACAAAATTTCTGAACCAAGGAGTAGTCCCAATAGATTGGAAATATGTAAATGTCACCACTATTTTCACAAAAGGCAGAAGCTCAGTGGAGACCTACTGTCTAATCAGTTTGACATCACATATTTGCAAGCTCATGAGAGAATCCTAAGGGAGGGAATCATTCACTATCTTTCAAAGAACAATCTTATAAAAGCAACACAACATGGGTTTGTTAAAAATAGATCCTGCCTTACAAAGCTGCTCATATTTTTGTAAGTAGTAACCAATTTCCGGTTGATACAGTATACAGTACATGGATTTTGCTAAAGCCTTTGATAAGGTATCACATGAAAGACTGGCAAGGAAATTACAGGCTCATGGAAGAATACTAGAATAGTTAAAACAAAGGAAACAGTAATGCTAAATGGGAATGAATCTGATGTGGAGAAATGTGGTGGGTGGGGTACCATAGGGGTCCATTTTGTGGCCATTCCTTTTTGTCATAGACCTGTACATCAATGACATAGATGAGAATATTACATCATCAAATTTGCAGATGACAAAGATTTATGGTAAAGTGGGAAACGATAATGATATTGAAACCTTACAAAGAGATCTAAATAAACTCCACAAATGGGCAGATGATTGGCAAATGCTTTTTAATATTGACAAATATTAATGATGACAAATGAAAGACCCTGCATGTGGGCTTAACAACCCATGCCACAACTACCAAATAACATTACATGACACCAGATTGATGAAGAAAAGGACCTTGGAGTCAATTTCCACCACTCAATGAAAGTTGCTCAGCAGGTAGGGGCAGCAGTCAAAAAAGCAAACCAAACACTTGGAATAATCAAGCGTACCTTTACCTTTAAGGAAAAGAAGGCAGTGATTCAATTGTATAAATCTCTGATGCGCCCCTATTTGGAGTACTGTATCCAAGCATGGAGACCGCCTCTTCAGAAGGATAGCTGCTCTGGACAAAGTGCAACACCGGGCAACAAAAATCATTCCAGAGCCAAGTCTCAACCGTCACTTATCAGGGACGGTTGAGGGCCACAGGGCTAATAACACTGCAAACCAAGCATGATAGAACAGATCTCGTAAACAGTGAAACTTAAAATACTAAACAATTTGAAGAATGTTGATCTGGACAATTTCTTCAAAAGGTCAGATGTAACACAAACAAGAAGCAACGATTTCAAGCTCAGCAAGCCACAATTTAGGACAAAACAGGAGATGCTTTTTCACCCACAGGGTTATAAACCCGTGGATCTGCCTACCCGCTGAAGCTGTAAATGCCAAAACTTTTAAAGTACTTACAGCTGGAAAAGATCAAGGCAAATGGGGGGACCCTTGAAGAGCTACCGGCTTCCTGTCTTTGTTGAGGCCACTAGTGTTAGTGGCTCTCAGGTAAATTCAGGTAAAAAACACACACATTCTTACAACTTGACTGGTGAAATTGTCAGTGCATTTGGTCACAGCCAATAGTTCCAGCATTAAATTTCTACAACAGGACAGAAGTGTTTCAACAAGATTTCTTCGACCTGAAGCCTCTGTTCACCTAACTTTAAATAAGGAGTTAGGCAACTGCTGTTGGTTGCATCCTGGAGAAGGTCAGTTGCTGACCTAGTGGAAGCTTGTTAAGCCAAGCAGGCCTTCTGTTGCTTAATATGGGAACCAAACACTCAACCTGTGGACACATTGGCTGACACGTCTCCAGTCCAGGGACCAGATTCACAAAGTTACGCAAGTACTTACAAAAGTGTGCATCTTTCCACTAACTTTGATGGCTTTACTTACATTTATTAAACAGTTAGAAACATAAAAACTTCCAAATCAACTGTTATTAGATTATAAACAATCTCCTGGTGCTTCAGAGCTCATTAACTGTTAAATAATTGTAAACAAAGCTGCCAAAGATGGAGAAAATATGTACAGGTACGTAAGTGCTTGTGTAACTGCTTTGTGAATCTGGTCCCAGTACACTGTATTATACAACCTGTAAACACATTGGCTGACACTTCTCCATACTAGCACACTGTATTAGTCACAATACACTGTACTGTAACAACTAGGTGTTCATAGGTGTTTAACCTGTAAACACACTGGCTGATACTTCCCCCCATACTATCATATCAATAACAATACCATGTAAATTCCTAGACCTGGTGCAGGACTCCTTTCACATACAACCTGTGGTAGAGCCCACTTGAGGAAACAGCATTCTGGACCTTGTGTTAACACCAGAAGAGGACATGATCTGTCAAATTCAAGTAGGAGAAAACCTCACCCCATCGTGTGATCACAACATTCTAAGACGGAATACAATTACAGAAACTCTCGTAAAGGTCCAAGATGATGACCTTCTAGATTACCATTGAGGAGACTATCAGGGAATGAGAGAGGAATTGCCAAACACACCATGGAAGGAGCTGATAGGTGATCAGGACATAGAAATATCATGGGAAAATTTAAAAAATCCATTACTGAACTCATTCAAAGATATGTGCCAAAAAGGAGAAAGAAAAGAAAAGGAACAAGATGGATGACACAAGTAGTAAATAGAGCGTTAATAACTAAACCGAACATCTAGAGACGGTATAAATCCCCGATGAACATCATGGATTATGAGATATATAAAAGGGCATTAAATGCAGCTAGCCAGGAAATCAGATTAGCCAAAAGAAACTATGAAAGAAAACTTGCCCAAAACATAAAGGAAAATCCAAAATCATTCTATGTTTATATACGACGTAAAACCAAAATAAAAGACTCTGTAGGACCCTCAAAAGATGAGACTAACAAAGCTGTATTGGATGATAAAAGGGCAGCAAACACTCTGAATCAATACATTACATCAGTGTTCACACTAGAAAGAATGAACGACATCCCATCACCCACACAAATGATAGAAGGAGGTAAAGAGAATGGATTAAGGGATATACCCATTACATGCAACAATTAGGAAGAGCATTGACAAACTAAAAGACTCAAAAGCCTCAGGTGTGGATGTATTTCAATCCAGTCAAAGGAACTGGCAAATGCACTATGCTTGCCACTGAAAATCTTGCCCTTTTCAGAAAATCCCTGGACCAAGGAATAGTTCCCCCCTGGATTGGAAATATGTAAATGTTATCCATATTTTCAAAAAAAGGTAGAAAACTACCGTCTGATCAGCTTCACATCACACATCTGCAAGCTTATGGAAAAAATCCTAAGGGAAGGAATCATACAACATTTCACAGAGATGTT